TGTGGGTGTGCATGTGGAAGGTCAGGTTGTACACCTGGTGGAAAGCCTTGTTGCAGATATTGCACTTGAACTGCTTCTCCCCGCTGTGAGTCAGCTTGTGGTTTTTGTAATTGCCTGGGAACGAGACAAGAAGGGCAAAGGGACCCGGGGCTGAGAACTGGACGCTGCAAAGAGACGGAAAAAAAAAAGGGAGGGAGGGGGGAATAATCCGCAAAACCTGTCCCGTCCCAGTGCCCGGCTTCAGCCGAAAATAACGGCCGGTCTCTTACCAAAACACCCGCCTTTTCCCCATCCTCCCCGCCGCTGCTCCTTTGACAGACGACGAGGGAATTATCGAATAAACCAAAATCACATCAATTGCAGGAAAAAAAAACCCTGGCTTTAGCCTTCCCAGCCAGACGGGGAGGAAAACTGACCAAACTCCTGCACTCGGAGGGGAAAAAAAGCGGCGAACTCGTTTGCGACCTGCACGGGCAGCTGCGCCTTGCAGGGCGCGGAAAACGGGCGCTGCCCGCGCAGAGGCTCCCCCGAAAACGCGAGTCCTGCCCCAGTCCGTGGTCCGTGCCGTAGGGAATGTGTGGGGGCTAGCGATCCTCAAAATTAACCTAAATCTCTAAGGATAAAAATTAAAACCGAAATCAACTCTCTCGCACCCCCCTCCCCGTCGCAAGTTATCCCGACGCTGGACCTTGCCTGGGGGGTGGGAGGGAAAGGGAGAGGGCGCCGGAGACTGGTACCTTTCTGGTGAAATCCTTTGCCACAAAATTCACAGACAAAAGGTTTGTAGCCGGCGTGTATTCGCGTGTGCGTGTTCAGGGTCGAGCTCCGGTTAAAGGCTTTGCCGCACTGGTTGCACTTGTGTGGCTTTTCCTGGAGGGAAACAAACGCCGAAACAACGGCTTGTCGGCTGGTCGTTGGTTTTGTAGGGGTTTGTGCGGTGCTTTGCGGGGTTTGCCTATGACGGGGGGGGAAATGAAATCTCCCCGCCGCTGCCTCGGAGCGGCCCGGCGGAGCCGGGGTCCCCAAAAAGCGTGAGCGGAAGGATCTCGGGGCGGGATGGAGGGATGGAGGGAGAGATGGAGGGATGGAGGCTCACCTGGGTATGGATGATCTTGTGCCGGCAGAGCGTGCTCGCCTGCCTGAAGCCCTTCCCGCAAACTTTGCAAACAAAGGGTCTGGCTCCCGTGTGCACCGGCATATGGCGAGTTAAGTTATAATGTGCGTTAAATACCTTAAGAGTGAAATCAGACAAAAATAATAAAAAAAATAATTGCGATTAGAAGGCGAGAGCGCCGAGGGGAAGCCGTCGTTTTTAAAAATCAAGCAAGCAAGCGACCGACCGACAACCCGGCGGACAGAGGGACGAGGGTAGGAGGCTGGGGAAGCAGGGGGTAGGGCGGCGGGCTGCGGCTCTACTTGCCTTTCCACAAACTTCGCAGGTGAAAACTTTGGGCTTGCTGCTCGGGGAGCCGCGGCTGTACTCCAGGGTCTTGTAGGCGATTTTTTCCGAGAGGATCTGAGCACTCTCTTTCATGTAATGCTGGAGCTGAGCCTGCGACAAGTCCTTGAAGGCCACCCCCGCCGGGTACTTGTCCGCGGCCGGCAGCACCAGCTTGTTGCGCTCCGCCAGGTAAGCCTTGGGCTGCGGGTGCAGGGGAGAGCTGAGGAAATAAGAAGCCACCGGGTGGATGTTGACACTGGAGGACGGGTGACAAGGGCTGTCGCCTCGGTTGAAATAGCACAGGGCTCCCATGGCGTGGAAGGAGGAGTGATTGACCACTCGGGGTCTTACCAGTTTGTACTGCTGCAAGGGCAGGGCATCGCGGGGGAAATCTCCTTTCAAGCTCAGGGCACAGTTCAAGAGATCGCCGCAGCTAAAGGAGGGCGAGGAAGAGGAGTCTAAATGAGCCTTCCTGGGTTCCGCTCCGGCCACTGCCGCTTTGGGCAGGGGGTCGTACGCCACCGGGACAAAGGGGATCATGCAGGGGATGGAGGAGTTGAGGTGCAGCGGGTGCTTGGGGTCGCCTTTGGCCACGGAGCCGTGGAGGAGCTGCGGGACGGGGATGGAGCGGGGCTCTGGCGTCCGCGCCATGATGCGCTCAATGGAGAAGGCGAGGGGCTTGGGCGTGCTGATCATGTTGCTCCTGGCAGACAGGCTTTCTCTGGCCGGAGGAGTCGCTAGGATTTTGGTCGCCGTGTGGTGGCCACTATTGTCCATGGCTGGATTGCATTTGTTCGCCCGGTTTGAGCCGCTTTGGTAGACGCCTCTTTTTTTTTCCCCCTTTTCTTTCTTTTTTTTTTTTTTTCTTCCTCCTCTCCCCTCTCTCGCTCTCTTTCACTCCCTCTGCCCCTTGTCACTGATCTGCGAGGAGGGAGACCAGCATCGCCGCCGCCACCATCACCACAGCCTCCGCCGGCGGAACCAGCCTTCGCAGCCCAGTGGACTCCTGCCAGCCCATCACAGTTTACTTTGGCGCACCAATGACTCGGGACAATCGCTACTTATTTCTATCAATAGAAAGTGTTGTGTCAATAACGCAGCCAAGATCTCGCCAATCGTTAACTTCCAAGAGGAGAAGGTAAACTAGATAATTGCTCAATTCGCTTCCAACAGTCAACAGGAAAAGTTTCCCCCCCCGACCAGTAAGCGGCTACTTTTCATTGGCGCCCGCGCCTCCCCCGCCCAGGGGAGGAGGTGTCTCTCCCTCCTTCTTGCCTTTCTCCCCTCTACCTCCCTCCCTCCCTCTCCCTCTCTCTCTTTTTTATTATTATTATTTGCAATCTGCTTAACCAGGCTTTAGAGGCCAAGCAAATCCGAGATCAATTTTCTTCTTTGGCTTTAAGTGACATCATCTAAAATCATTGTCCAAGTGCTAAATAGGGATGTGAAACCCAATTCAAGGGCAAGCGCCAGGGTATTTGTCAAACGAGGTGCTGCAGAAGAAGCGGCTGGAGGGGAAGCTGTTTCCTCGCCACTTTCCAGCCCGAGCTCTCTTTGTGCGTGGGTGTGTATGTGGGGGAGCGGGGGTGTCTGAGGGAGGGAGGTGGCTGCTCTGCTCCCGGGACTGCTCCTGGTCTGCTCACTGCTTCAAAGAACAGGGTCAGGTGTCGGTGAGCTTTTGGAAAACTCGGTAAACAAATGAGCGGGGAACTTGCGACAAGCAGACGGCGAGAGCAACGCATGGGGATGCGGGAGCCACCCGGGCCAAATCCAGCGAGTGCTTGTGAGCAAAAGGATGAATCAAAGCCTTGGGGCTGGGGAAGAGAAGGAAAAAGAGGTAGGAAGAGGGAGTGCCTTTTAAATCTGAAGCACTATTTTTAATATATATATCCATACATAGAGATATATATACAAAACATATATATATGTGGTAACCTGCATATACACTAGGAATAGTTTCTCTGTCTTTAAATGGTACATGCCCAACACAAATACACAAAACTCAGGGTCAGTATAGATACACAAATACACCACACGCACGCTGTTTATGGAGGTCCGTGCACCTAGACAGATGCGCTCCCATGCGTTTAAGCAAAGCTTGGCGGCCCTGTGGCGGGCGGGTAGCTCCAGCTGCCCTTAGGGCGAAGCGGGCGGAGAGAGGAGGGGGACAGCAGTGGGTAAAGGGCTTTCTGTGTTCCCCCGTCCCACCACCCCGCAGTTCGGGGCCAGGACAAGCTCCCGTTCCTCCCGCTGGCCTGGGGTTCACTTGGCTGGTGACTGAAGCCGCTGCCCAACCCCCGGGAGCAGTCGAGGGGAGGGACGGGGATGGAGGGAGGGATGGAGGGGTGGCACCCCTGCCCTC